CCCACGGCTGTCCCCTGGCCGGCAGAGCCCACTGCCCGTTCCCATGGCTGGGGATGGGAGGCCAGCAGAGAGGGGGCCACTGGCCCATGACTCCTTCTCCCTACCTGTCCCCCCTCTGCTCCTTCCCACTCAGGGTCCCCTGCCTCTCCTGGTCAACTTCGGGGTCTCTGACAGTGACCCGGGTCCCAGCTGGCCCTGGGGGGGTGTGAGGGCTGGCTGGGTTTTCTTGGGAGCCTCTGGCACAGTGTGTGGGGGGCGGAAACGGGGGGTTAGAAACTGGCCCCCAGGAGAGATGGCCAGGGCAGCTGAGCCCTCTGGCCCTGCTCCTGAGCCCTGGCCCTCAGCCTCTCACAGAGGGGCTCCAACAAGTAGCTGCTGTGTCCTGTGAACCTCTTCCTTCACATTTTGAGAAGCTGGGAATGAAGCGCAGGGCTTCCTGCCCCCTAGGCAAGGCTCTCTCCCTGAGCTACACCCAGCCCCTCTGGACCTCACCTCTGAAGAGGGGAAAGTGCCCCTCACATCATAACCGTGAGGCAGGCGCAGTCGTGAGCACATTCTGTGAACTGTTGAGGGCTGGGTACTGTCAGTGACTCACGTTTACTGAGCACTTACTACGTGCCAGGCTGTTTGGGCATTTCCTGTCTATACCAGCTGCCCTATGAGCTATGCCCTCGCTTTACAGACGAGGAGTCTGAGGCTCATGCTCACGTAAGCACAAGGGTGGGGGCTAGGTGTAGGTTGCAAGCTGCCCCCTCCCCATGGGAAGTACAGGGGTTCCTGGCCAGGGACTCTGCCTAATACCTGTTTTCCTGCCCAGCCTGCCAGGTCAACGTCACGCTGGAGGGCCGTCTGGACACGCAGGGCGTGCTGAGCACACCCTACTTCCCCAGCTACTACTCTCCCAGCACCCACTGCTCCTGGCACATCACGGTGAGCCCTGCCCCCACTGCCGCCCGCCCTCGGTCCAGAGCCCTCCACAGGCCTCTGGGACACAGGAGAGGAAGGGCAGGGTCTGGTCCTGCTGAAGGCCCACAGGTTGAGGTCTGGGTACCAATCCTGCCAGGGTCGGGTGTGGCACAGCCAGGGTCTCCCTGATGGTCACCAGGATGTCTGTCTGTTGAGGACTGTCTGCCAGTGGCCGGCCCTCTCCCAGTGTTGTCTGGGGAGCTGGCGTCCTCGCGTGGTCTCTCCCATGGGTCGGGTGATGACCCACTCCTTCCTCCCAGGTGCCCTCTCTGGACTACGGCCTGGCCCTCTGGTTTGATGCCTACGCTCTTCGGAGGCAGAAGTACGACCTGCCGTGTACCCAGGGCCAGTGGACGATCCAGAACCGGAGGTACCGACTCCCAGCACTCTCCCCATCCCCCCAGGTACCCCTCTGGGAGCCCAAATTCGAGCCTCAAGGGGCAGGTGAGGGAAGCCAGTGGAGGCTGGAGCTGGTGCAGGCCGGAGCTGGTTCTGGACCTTG